TGAACAAAAGAAAAGTTTTCAATCAACTAATATCGATTAATTCTTCTTTTCTTTTGTATGGATGTTTAGTTTGGACGGAATTTCCTTAGTTGATTATTATTATTATTGTTGGTCGGTGGTCGTTGGTTCCTAGGATTTCGTGTGTGCGTGTCGAAATGTGTATGTGTGTGTGTGTGATGTATATGATCAGTTATTGTTGGATCAATGAAAAAAAACAGCGGTTGTAATTACTTTTGTCATTCAATATCATTCGGTTGTTGTTGTTGTTGTTGTTGTTGTTGCTGCTGCTGTTATTATTCAATGATTCTTATTTTTACTCTAAATTTTTCTGTTTATTATTATTTTTTTTTGTTTTGTTTTGTTTTCATTCCGATATTGTCTATCGTAGTCTATTGTGGATCGGTTTTCGCAATTTCTTTTTATTTTTATTTTTTTTTTTTTGCTTCTTTATATCACCAATCCATACATATTGGTTTGTGTGTGTGTGTGTGTGTGTGCGTGTTTGTAAGACTAATGTGCCCTACAGTCACACTTTTGCATTATTTTTCTTCATCATCATTCTCATCATCGACCAAAAGTTTCATTTTCTTTTTTTTCCAATTCTTTTTTTCATTGGCTAATTTTTTTAGACTGTAAAAAAACTATTTATGTATGATAATAACGACGACGACGACGATGATGATGATGAGAAACCAGTCGATTTGGATCGATTCCTATATATTTATAAATTGAACAGTTTCGATCGATAATGTATCGATTCATTTGAAAATATAATAATCATAACAACAACAACAATTTCACATTGGTTTCAGTATTTTTTTTGTTATTCATTTATTTTTGGTCCATAAATGGATGATTCAATTGTTTGTTTGTTTGTTACAGACGCACACACCAGACACAAATGAAATTCTTCGGGCAAAAAAAAAGTAAAAAAAAACAAGAAGAATATCACCAAGTATAGTTTTTTTCACTTGTTACATTTTTGTGTGTTTCTTTTCAATAATTTTTTTTCCCTAGTTTGTTTCGTTTGGTTCATTTCATTATTACAATGTTTTTTTTCATTATATTTGGGTTATTTGTATTGTTTTCATTTTTTGTTAGGATTTTCTCATTTTTATTTTACATAATATTTGTTGTTAATCGATGTGACCGAATTTTTTTTTCACCACCACTCAGAAATCAAACAGGATGTTTCATCATCATCATCATCTCAATCATTATGATATAGATTTGTAGATACAAAATTCTTTATCATTTTAGATTATTGTGAAATTATTTTTATTCCATTCTACAATTGACTATTTCTTTCTCTCTCTCTCTCACTCTTTTTCTCTCTCACTCATTTTATGATTGTTATTAATTGAAAAAAATCACCAACAAATGGATGCATGGATGAACATACATATACACATAGAAAGAGACTGTGATTATCATCTTCATCATCATCAAATGTTACCAAATCAAAATAGTATGTTTAATCATTTAGATCACACATACACACATACAAACAAAAAAAATAAGCTTACCATTTTTATTATTCAAATAATGATGTTCAGCTTTGATGATGATGATGATGAACAATGTCTGATGAGTTTGGTATTTCATGATTACGATTACAATTATGATGATGATGATGATGATAAACCAACATAAAATACCAAGAGGTTTTATGCCAAGTAATACAATTTCAAGTAATCATTGTTTGGTATATACCGTGAACAACAACAACAACAATGCCAATGTGTGTGTAAATGAATAGGAAGCAGAAAAAAAACAACCACCACCACCACAATCATTATCAACAAAAGTTTTTTTTTCAAGATTAAATGATAAAACAAAAGAGTATAATAGTGTGTAAATGAATAAGTTGTTTGCAAGTTAATAATGTTTTGTTATCGTTATATATATGTGTGAATGATGACAAGACTAATTGTTTTTTTCTCACACACACAACAAAACGGGAAGAAAATTACATGAAAACCAAATAAAGAACATATACATGAAGAATGGTGAAAAAGAAAATATCTCACACTCACACACACAATTATTTCATGGATCGTTTGCAAGAATAATTTCTCTTTTTGATAATAATAATAATAATAATAATGATTATCATTGTTTTATTCATATATATATGGATAGTTAGATTGTTTGGTAGCAGCAGCAGCAGCAACAACAACAACAAAAAAAAACAAAATTTTTTATTTTCATTTGATTTTCTTTTTTTAAAAATTTCAATATTTGTCTAAATTATTCCAATTTGTTTTAGGCCTGAAGTATTTTTGTTTCGATTCAAAAGTTGATTATATTTATACCTTTCTTTAAAACTTTTTTTCTTCATCAACCTTTCATCACTTGTTGGTCATTTACAATGCCATCAATTTTATTTTCCAATGAATCCACTTGAGCTGAAAGAAATATGATTTGTAGGTAATTAGGCCAAATTGGATTTTTTTTTTAAACAATAACAAATATGAATATAATCGATCTTTATCCTTGTTATTAATTAGTCGTAGTCATATATGTCTCATCAAATCAAGATCATCATCAGTGGTATTTTTATGTTTTAAAATTTAAATTTTTTTTTGTTGTTGTTGTTGTTGTTGCTAGAACTAAACATTCCAAGGCTAATTTACTTTCATATATGAAATGTTTTAAATATCAACCAATCAATTATTTTCGCCCAGAACATTTATCATCATCATTTTTTTCTATGTATATAAAAGAAAATAAATATTTCAACCATTGAATAACATTGCTTTTTTTCAGTGGTTATAAAAAAAATTTCTGATTGATTCAAACACAATCAATCAGTCGGTTGTTCTCGTGTTCATTTGTCTCTATATTGATTGAAATTTTGCTAATCAGGAAACAACAGAACAACAAAAAAAACTGGAACATCGTTTATCGTTTAAATTTTATGAGAATTTTTTTTATATTCATTTTAAATAACTACGGCAATAATATAACAATGGCCACATAGACACACACACACACACACACCTGGTGACGATCTAATTATGATCATCATCATCATCATCGTCATTAAGTGAATAATTTCATTTCAATATTCATATTTCAAGAGAAAATGAATAGAAACAAAAACAAAAACAAAAACATTTTGCTTACCGATAATCTTTGTTTTTGTTTTTGTTTGATTTGTTTCAGATATTTGTGTTTGATTTAACGATGATGATTATCTTTCGTTGATGATAATGATGATGATCATCATCATCATTATCTATTATTAATCTATATATGTGTACTATTTATATTATTGAATGAAATAGCTAATCAACATTAACTAACTAACTGACAACAACAACAACAACAACAACAATAACACATTCCTAACGTTTCTTGGATATTTATTGATTTTGCCTACAATGTTTAAAAAATGATTTGTTGTTCATATAAATGTGTAGGACAACAACAACAACAACAACGACGACGACGATGACAACATTTATATGTATTTTGAATTCACATAAATTCATTCATTCGTTTACATTTTTTGAATTGTATTTAAAGTCGTCGATATTTGATTGAATTAATTCATTCATTCAACCAACAAGAAATCATTTTTTGTTGATCAAATTTAAACAAAATTCAATGATTCAATGACATCACATCGATTTTAGCCAGAACATTATCCATTTCAATTTTTCATTTTCTATTACGGATGAAAATTATTATCATCTCCAAATTACCGGTACGTTTTATTTTTGTTAACCATAAATACACATGAAATAATGTTTTCAATTCACGTTCAAATTGTGTTTTTCATTTTCACTGACTTTTTTTCTCTCTCTCTCTTTTTATATTCCAATAATTTTTTTTTTGTTTCATTACACTAAATAGATAGATATTCATGTTATTTAGGAAAAAAAATTAATGTTATCACCTACATAAACACACACACACATATATGAAAACATTTAGAATGAAATTATGAAACATTGTCACCATCATTGCTAATAACGGATGCTTAAATGTGTTTTATATGATCGTTGTAGTGTTCATTTGTGCTGCAAATCGTTGCATTCGACATTAATTCCAGCCGTGAGTGTCCTACCTTGGATACGTCATCCAAATTTTTTTTCCCAATAATTACCAATTTCAATTGGCATTGAAAATACAAAAAATTTTTTTTTTTGATTTTTTTGATTGTTTTTAATGTCAATTTTATTGGTTTTTTTATATTGAAAAAAATATATTGGATATCTATTGACAAAACTGTATTCAAGGTAGTATACCCAGTGCTGGCATTAATGAATTTCTTCTTCTTCTTCTTCATCTTCTTATTCTTTGTCTTCAGCCGGATCAGCATCGATGATTTTCAATTCAATCTATTATACAATAATGTAAGTGTGTGTGTATGTGTGTGTGTGTGCTTCACTTCATTTCCGGTTCCGAATTTATTTATTTCAATACTAAAACAAAAAACAATTCTAAATAAAAATAAACATTGATCAATCACAAAAACGAAAAATAAAAACGATTCGGGTACAGATTCTCCCCTCCAAAAAAAACGTGACTTGAGAAATATTCTTTTTCCTCTTTCTTCATCTATCTATCCATGTCTATTATATAACAGAAGATCGTCATCATCATCATCATTGCAAAGAGAAAGAAAAAAAAAGATGGAAATTTTCTGAATCGTCATTGGTGGTGGTGGAATGTATGAGAAAATCTTGACATCGTTCATTCAATAATGATAATAATAATAAAATAATACGAATTTTTAATTAAAATTCTGACAAACAATTTTTTTTTCATTCATTTGGCATCAACTTTGGAACAAAAAAAAATTTCGATGCCTTATTACTTAACATTATGTATTGTTCATTGATTTCATAAAGACAAGCCCAGAATATAGAATATTCTCTGTAAATCCATCCAAATTATTATTCAAATGAATAAATCATGAAATTGAATATTGAAAATCAAATACAGACAAAAAAAAAAAAAAAACAATGAAAGAAAGAAAAATCACTTGCCTTTTTGATGGATCGGAAATAGTCCTCCCAACAATATATCACCATGTTCGGTCACTTTGTTGGCAATTGTAAATGGTATAATCATTGTTGTTGATAATAATATCGATATTACAATGATTATTTTAAATGTTTTCCAATTAATTCTGCTGATCAATTCATCATCAATGGCAGCGTATGGTTTTTTCGTTCGATTTTGATAATGATAATGATATTTTTTATGTTGATAATGATAATAATGAACAATTTTTTGATAATGTTGATGATGGCCATGATAGTAATAATAATTATAAAACAATGATGATGATGTTATCATAAAATGATGGCTAACCATTTTTAAAATGTTTGTAATACAAACAAATAAAGTGGATAATAATAAAAATTTATTGGAAAAATTTTCAATTCTAATTCTGTTTAATTCCATTATTGAATGGCAACGATTAATTAGAATTTCATTTAATAATGATGGTGATGATGGCGATGGTGGTGGTGGTGGTTTCATGATTTCCAATAACATATTGTCATTTCATCATTTCGTCATCATCATTATATTGGATATGAATATTTACATCACCATAATCATCATTCATTTGTTTTATAATCAATTTAAAGTTGCGTTTTTTTTTACTGTGGAAGATTTCTGTGTTGTGCTTTGATTTTTTTTTTTTTTGGAAAAATTTCAACTAGATTCTGTTTTTGTTTTTATTTTCACAGGCTGAAATCGTACACATGAATGTGGAATAAATCCTGTTGATGATGCATGAAAAACAATGACGAAAATGGAAGATGAAAAATCTGTGAAAACAAAATCAGAATGGAAAAGAAAAAAAAAAAAAAATAAATAAATAAAAATTCAAATTCAAACAGATTCAAAAAGAAATTAAATGAATACAACAAAAAAAATTGTGACCAACATTATTTCATTTTTTAATTTTATTTTGATTGACATAATTTTCAATGCCAAAATGAAGCAAATTAAATTATTGCGGAAACATTCTTGTTTGAATAGTGAGGCTATATTTCCGGATTTGGATTTTCTAATCATTCTATCATCATCATCATCATCAACTTCAAAAACAACAACAACAACAACAACAACGGCAACAAAATCAATCCTGTCACAATATTTGCCACATATTTTTTTGTTGTTGTTGCTGTTTTGTTTTGTTTTTTCGTTGAATTGGATGTCATATTCAATAATAATTTGATCATCTGGATAAATTGTTTATTTTTTGTCTGTGTCTGTGTGTGTTTTGCTGTCTGTTTTACATAATATATTATGTTATGTTCATAAAATTTTGTCATTTATGTTTCTGAGACTCTTATACAATGGATAGAAAAAATTTGTTACTTGTAGACACATTGGCATTTTGAGATACAGACCAAAAAAAAAAAAAAAAAAAATTCAATTATTCATCAATTATTGATTTCTTGTTTGGTTGTTGTGATTTTTTTTTTTTTTGTTCTCTCCATCATTTAATTCAATTAATCATGTTAAATATGCATAGAATGTGTGTGTGTGAGAGGGTGTGGGTGTGTATGGGTGTATAGCTGATTGTGATCGTAACAAAGTTTTGTTTCAAATAAACGAAACCTTTTTTCAAAATGAAAAAAATAAAAATAAAGTTTGATTTGAATTGATGATATGATTTTTTCAAATACATACATTCTACACAAACTACTATTAAACAGCTAATAAATGCATAGAAATATAGAATTGAAACAGATGCGACCAATCACCATATATGTATGTATGTATATCAGATATATTCATATCTTTCATATATGAAAATGGCCATCACACTTGGTGTTTTGTGTGTGTGTGTGTGAAGAGAATAAAAAAAAACTTTGTGAATGTCACTAAATTTTTTTTTTTTTTTTGAAAAAAAATGAAAATAGGTGAATAGATATCAGCAGAATATTCTAAACTTATATGTGAATAGAATAATCATATATCAAAGTATCGACAATATGTGTCTATGTGTGTGTGTGTGTGTTAGTGACAAACTTTATTTTCGTTTTATGATTATATAATAATAAAATATACCACTTGTCATTCTTTGAAGTTTAAGTTTCGAGTATGAAATCAACAACTACAATAACAATAACAATAACAACAACAACAACAACAACAACAACAACGGCAACCGAATGTTGCATTTTTGGTTATATTGTGAATGAAATTTTTTTATTTTCGTCACAAAATTTTCTACTTTTTTTCTGGCTCTATTGATGTATCTTTAGAATATGGAAAACAAATGATATCGTACAGTGATGAGACACACATATGTTTCATGTTTCACATTAAATGATGATGATGATGATCTGCATGATGCTTTGATTTTCAAAACATTATCTGAACAAACAATCTGAACATTCTTTCCAGAATGTCAATAGAGAGAGAATAAAGAATCTGTCCGTTTGATTCGAGTAACTACCATCAACCAAAATATCAAAAAAAAAATGATAAAATTAATTTCTTCACACATATTCTGTAAGTGATATTGTTGTCAATAAGGATATTGAGTTTGAAAAAAAAACTTGATTGACTGGCATTTTGTCATCATCATCATCATCATCATTTTGAATACAATGGATGAAAGAAAAAACAAACGAAATTCTGTATTATAATATGTATGTGGATTTCATGATTTTACTGTGTTACTATGAAATTAAAGCATTCTGCATTCTGTTGCGAATAAAATACCAAAACTGAAATCGGTAGTCACCAACAAACTGGGAAAAAAAAGTCAAAGAATTTTTATAGTTTAGTTTGCTTTCTGTAAATGTTATTGCATCATGCCATTGGTACAGAATCGAGACAAGAGAGAGAGAGAGAGAGAGAAAGAAACTAAACACGACCACCATGAATCGCCATCGAAAAATGCCAGTCAATTTCATCTTGATTCAATTCATTCTTAAAGGTTTGTTCGTTAGACTTAAAACTGGTGTGTGTGTGTGTGTGTGAGTGTGTGTAAAAATGATGCCATGGTATTATTGTGATTATGATTCATGACACGAAAAACCTCTCGGTTTTTTTTCTGTTCGTATTTATATTCTTTTGCTTTTATTTTTTTTTCTACCAAATATAAATACGGTTATTTGAGTTTTATAAGTCGATTCCCCTTTCGATTTTCATTCATTCATTCTCTCTTTCTTTCTCTCTCTCGCTCTCTCTTGCTCTCGCTCTTTTCAAATTCATTCATACGATTCCAATGATTTTTTTTTGTTTCATTTCAAGTTTTGTTATTGTTTGTGTAAATTTTTTCTGGTTCGTTTGATACGCACCACCCTTCCCCTTTATTTCAAATTTATTCTTTTTTTTCCATACAACTCTAACGCTAAATACACACACACACACACACACACATAGTCACAGACATATTGATTTACTATTTTATTTTCATTCAACTAACATAGATATAAAAATAAAAAATAGTTTGTTTTGACTTGTTTTTCCGTTTCATTCTTGTTATTCTGTTCTGGATTTCCATTTTCCATATGTTTATAACAAGTGAAAAATAAAATCACATTTTTTTCACTTAGTTGATGGGGTCACATTTCTTTGTTATATATTCGACAATGATAATGTCCACCAAAAACTAGTCGATTGTTTTTCTTTCTTCTTCATTGTGTTGTTGTTGTTGATTCATTTTTCCTATTTTTTTTCTTCTTTGTTTCTAGTCTATTTCTTTATGTATGTATGTATGTGAGTTTCTGTTTTGTGTGTGTGTGTGTGTGTGTTTGTTTGTTTCGACTATTACCATCATTATCATATATTAATTCAAAGAAGAGTAAAGTAAAAGAAGAAAAACGGAACCGCCTTATCGATGAAAACATCCAAGCAATAATTTTTTACGATTTTTGATATCTAGGAATCAATATAGAAACAAGACGTATCAAATTGATGATGACCATCATCATCATCATCATCATCATTCTTTGGTAGAAAACTTGTTTTGTTTTCATTGATGTTAATACCAGAGGAAAAAAACAGCATAAATTGTATCGAAAAGTCAAAAGTTTTCCGGTCAAAGATGTTATTGTTTTTTTCTTTCTCTATCTCAATATATATGTTTGTTTTCATTTACAAATTTTCTGTTGGCTACAAATACTCTCTAACTGTGTGTGTGTGTGTGAATCTTTTTTCTATCCTGGTTCATCAATGAAATGAAAATAAATGAAACAAAATGGAACTTACACACACACACAAAAACATACTGAATAAATGAATGAATGATTCTTGAAACATTCTAGAAAACGAACGAGGTGAAAGCAAAGGCGAGAGAGAGAGAAAAAAAAAGACGAATCAAAGTGCAAAAAGAAATTGACCTAATTTTGTCGTTTATTTTTTTTCTTTATGTGAAATTATACTCAAAATTCCAAACACTTTTTACCATTTTCTTTCTTTCTTTTTTTGTTTATTTCTTATTGCCTCAACGTTTTTTTTTTTTTTGGTGGCCATCACAATGGTGACGAACGCTTTGAACGACAAATTTTAACTCACACTTTGTCTATTTCTTTTTAGTTGTTTGTTTCGTTTTATTTCGAATTTCAAAAAAAAAAAAAAAGAAAATTGAATACAATTCATGATGGCCCTTACAAACAAGAGTGCCAGAATCGTAATAATAAAATCGAACTGTGTATATGAAATGGGCGTTTTTATTTTCAAGCATAAAAAAATTCTTGAACAGCTCAGTTTGTTTTTTTTGTTGTTGTTGTTGTTGTTGTTGTTGTTATTTTTTATCAGCCTATGTATGCAATAGTATATATAATAGTTGATCCAGAATTTTGCAAAATTTTTAAATTTTCCAAATAAAAAAAGAATGAAAAAAATTCCTTTTTTCGTTTTTGTGTGTGTGTGTGTGTGTGTGTGTGTGTGTGTTCGTCTCATGTTCCATATTTTTTTTTTTTACTTTTCAAATGATATTTTAAAATTGAAATTGTGAATAAATATAACCTGACTTTATAGGAAAAAATTTTTTTCCCCAGAAAACAAAACCTGTACCAATAGATGAAAATGAATAGATTAAAAAAATAATTCCATTTCATCATCATAGGATTCTATTCAAAACAAAACAAAACAAAAAAAAATATTCATTCCTGGATTTAAGCGAATAAAACCAAACAAGTAAAAAAAAAAGTTTAACCATTTGTATGCATGAAAAAAAAGTTTCAATCGATGGATGGATGAATGGATGGATGGATGGCTGGTTGATTACTTTTTTTTGTATGGAAACAAATTTGAAAATTGCTTTTAAACACTAAAAAACTCTGTGTGTTTTTCATCATTTCATCATCAATGACTACAATGATAATGATGATGATGATGATCTACGTGAAATTGGTCGAGAAAAAAAAATTTGAAATTTATTGATTTCTGAAAAATTGAAACACACACACACACACACACACACACCGCCGTTACCATAATCATCATCATGATCGTGATCGTCGTCATTTTTTTTCAACGATACATACACCTTTATCGATTTTTTGTTCCATTTGAAAAAAAAACCAAACGAAAACATGGCGAAACTTTTTTTTCTTCAAATAAAACCGCATATATAATTGAAATGAAATGAAAAATCGACAGAAAATATAAATAGCACATTCAAGATGCTTGTTTTGTTCATTCATGAACATATTCGATATTTTAATTTG